CAACTTCATGGGCAGTGTCCGCCTCTATCACCTCCCGCTGGTGACGACAACGGCGAATGCGAGCCTCAAGGGTGAAACGGTCGGTTTTGAAGGCCAGTGAAAGGGTTTGAAATTTGGCCTCGATTTCCGCCTCGGAGAGCGATTCAATTGCAGTGCTGTTCTCGCCCATTAGACAGAGCTTTCGGAGCATCACATCGGGAAGGGAGGGAAAGGCGCTGTCTCGGTCTTTGATGAGGCTGTTTGCTGTTGTTGAAAGCTCTGAAGAAGGAGTTTGAGGTGATGAAGGTGGTGGTGATGATGAAGAAAAATTTGGGCAAATGTCAATCGAGTTGTGGCGGGTGAAGGGGGCTGGTTTTTTGGCCAATTTTTTGGCTGGTGAAGGNTGGTGGTGGTGATTGAGGTGGTGATTGTGGTGGTGATAGTGGTGGTGATGATGGTGGTAATGAAGTTGCTGGTGATGCTGCCTGGGCAGACTGCTGCGCACTATTAGCCAGCTCCTCCAGCAGACTGAGCGCTTTTGGTGGCTGAGGTAGATTGGTAAGATAGGTAGTTGGAAGTGTGTAAATGAAGTTTGAAAAGAAGGAAAAAAGATGTTTAAAGTTATTAGAGTTTTTTTACTGGTACCATGTTTTAATTAAAATACTAGAAGTTTTAGTTTTAAAATAGTTTAACCGGTTTATGACTCAAACTTAATGAAAAAACTAATTTATTTACCTGTACTTCGCTTAAACCATTTTTGTGAAACGCTTCTTTTGATGATCTTTTTCCTCTTTGGTTGCTGACCTTTTCCTTGGACTCCACCTCTTCTTCACCATTTCCATTTCCATTACTGATAGAGTTTTGCTTAGACAGCTGTTGTTGCTGGAACATCAACTGCTGTTGTTGCTGATCACTAGACATATTGGCGTTTTTTCGACGATTTGGCTGATGTTGCTGCTGCTGATAATGATGAGGATGACAATTTTCGCTTGTAGTCACTGAAGACTGCTGCTGATCTTCATCCTCAGCAACAAATTCGGAGGATGTGATTGAAGACGGGGCAGTGGACATGATGATGTTCAGGGTGATCTGCCCAGTGTTGATAGACAAAACAGTAAAAACAGCAAAAAACAAAAATAACTTTCTGGTTAGCAAGAACTAAAACGGATGTAAACAAAAACGAGCTGGCTGTTGCTAGTGAACAGCAGAACCAGCAGCAGCAACAGCAACAGTCAAAAGTGTAGAAAACCAAGCAATTTGGCTTACCTCATCCTCTGTTTGCGTATTTGGCAAAGTTTGGTCGTTGTTGTTGTCGTTGCTGCTGCTGTTGCTATTACTTTCACCCGTAGACTGCAACGACCGTACAACGGTGGATCTGTTTTCGATGTTCAGTTGTGGTTGATGGTAGTGATGTACAAGCAGATGTGATGATGCGCCAGTGTCATGCGGTTCAGAAGGGAAAAATGTGGTCGAGGGTTGGTGATCACCATCGTCGATGTCGGCGGTTTTGTCGTCCTCGTTAAAACCTCGACCACCTGTTGATCGATGACTGTTTCTGCTGCTGCTGCTGCTGCTGCTGTGGCTGCTTTTGTTGTCGATTGTAGTGTTATTTTTCCTCTGTTGTTGTTTTTTACTCCGTTTTAGAGTTTTGTTTGTCGATGAAGAGCAAGTTAAAGTAGAGTGGCTGTTGTTGAGAAAAAAAAGAAGAAGAAGAAAATGGGGAATAAAAAAGTTGAGTAACGGAACTTTTTAATTAGTAAAGTAAGGTGTTTTGAGGAAAAAATGTGTGATGCTTAGGAGAAGACTGTCAAGTAAAGTGATAGTGATTGCAATGCAGCAAAACCGGTAAAAACGGTGAAAAGATGACTAAGATGACTGGAAAATGAAGAACGCACTTTATTGTTATAACTTGGTGACGCACTGTACAACTGCAGCTGCGCTTGTCATTACGTGTTTGCAAACAAACAGAAAAAAGTATTAAACAAAAAATAAATAAAAACAATTTTTTGAAAGGATTTTGCAATCTTCATTAAGAATATTAAACCTTTTAAAAAATAAAAATACAGTTCTGTTATAATCAACTGCACACTGATCAATGACCTACTTATCAGGCTGTGGCAGTGTGCAAAAGGTGTCAAGCTAATGTCAAAATTAGTAAATGCAATAAAAACATTTTTGCATAATAAAACACAACTTAACAAGTCTAAATGATTTAAATATGGATATAAATAAGCATTAAGTTAGAGACCTGTTTCAAAATAATTAAAAGTTTGTTTTAAACTATATTTTATTATTCTTAATAAAAAATTTTACATTTAAAGATTGATAAACTAAGCAAATAAAAGTAAAAATTATTTTTTTGTTTTTTAAAAATAAAAAAGTTTGATAAAATTATCGATTAAAAAATGGTGATTTTTGTTACTGAAACATGTGTTCATGACAATGAAACAGTGACAACCTGTGATAATTATGACACTAAATGTGGTGGTGCCTATTATTTCTGCCTGCTAATGAGTAAAAGTTTTTTTGTATGTTAATGTCTGTAAAAGTGGTAAGTGAATGTGTGTGCACAGCGTGCAATAGTAGGTGACAAGCTAAACATATGAAATAGATAAAATAATAACGAGTCAGAAAGCGAGAGAAAAAACAATGTTTTTAGTGTCAGTGTTGTGTTGTTGTCATTTTAATGGTAATTATTTTTGTCACAAAAAAATGAACAACAAAAATGACAATGAATAAAATAATAGTAAACAAGTGATTTATTAAATTGTTTTAAACTATTCAAAAACTTAAACTACAAATACATTATAAACTCTACAACTAAACTTATCCATACAGCTGTTGCTAATAAAATTAGTATTGATTGTTCAGCTGGCAAAATTAAATAAAAAATTATAATAAAAATTAAGCAAACTATGGTTACAGCTTTTGCTAGTATAAAGAATATTTAATAAAAACGCTAAGTTTATTTAGTTAACCTTTTTTAACAGAAAATTCACCACATATAGCTCAAAAAAATTAAAAACATGTCAATTTATAAATAGTTTTAAATTACTGTATAAAAAGTGATTTAAAGTTTTAACTATTTAGTAACTTTGATATTTTCATATTTGTATTATTATAAAAATAAAACCCTAACAAACATACAAATCAGCAGAACTCACCTTTCACCGGCCTCAGCCAAAGCAGAGGCTCGCTGTTGTCTGCTGAGCGGCGGCGGTCTTCGAGGTGGCAGTGGCGGGGGTGATGGTGAAGGTGGTGATGATAACGAGAGTGATGAAGAGGAAGGTGATAAAGTTGACAAGTGTTGTTGACTGCAACTTCGTCCAGTGTTCCTAGCCTCCATCATCTCCAGCANATCATCTCCAGCAGCTCCTCCAGTTGAGCACACAGTCGGCCAATGGTCTCGTCCTTTGCCTGCAAGCTGGTGGCCACCTCTTGTTCAGACTGCTCAAAGTTGCCTAGTAGCTCGGAAGCTTTTCCCAGAGCATTTCTCAGCTCGGTGTTTTCCTCCTCCAGAGCAGAAAGTCGCTCAAGGGTGGCCGATTCTTGAGCGCAGATCTTTGAGCAAAAAAAACAAAAGAAGAAGAAAAAGAAAAAGAAGAAGGGGGTTTCAGTTTTGCACAGCTCACACAAATCACATTAACTTTAAATCAAAAGAGACAGTAAAAGAATAAAAGCAATTTAAAAAGAATTTTCAGTTTTGAGTTATTCAGTGTTTCTTATTTGTCAGCTAAAATCACCGGTCAAACGTGCACTGAGCAAATGATGGCGGTGAGGAGGAAAAACATCGGCGGCGGCGGCGGCGGCTGCAGTTGCTGCCAGTGAAAAATGCAAATTTTCAAGCCAGAAAAAGGGAAAAACTTTTCCACTCGAGCTGACAGCGGCAGAAATTGCAGCAGCAGTGCTACCTGTCCTGCCTGCAAAAAAAATAAAGTGGAAAGTACAGCTGTAGTACAGCAGCTTCAACAGCAGCAAAATCAGAAGAAAAAACAGCAGACACGTTTTGTCAAAA